TTTTTCTTCTAAGGAAGGAAGGATTTTTTTTCTTCTTGTTACCTATGAAATGGTATTTGTTAAGGGATGGGATAGCCATGTCATTTGCTCTCCTTGCAGCAAATGATATTTAAAAATTTTTATAGTAAACCATAATCCATTGCCAATACTAATAAAAAAGAGAGAGAGAAATGGAAGAAATAAACAATACTAGGAAAGAGAAAGAGACATTACTACAGATTCTATGTATATTCAAATTTTATAGGAAATATTAAATTTAGGCTAATAAATTTGAAAAGTTAGATAAAAAAATTCCTAGAAAAATAAGCTTACGAAAATGAACACATGAAGAAATAGAATAGTCCTATATACTAAGATATTTAAGTCCATATTTAATAATTTTCTACCAAATAGAACTTCAGGTCAGGTAGCTTCACCAGCGAATTCTACCAAAAAAATGTAAAGAAATGAAACCAGTCATCCACAAAAGTTATTTTATGTATATATACTTAATATACAAAGACCAATTATATTTTTATATAATGTAAAAGATATTATTTAAAACAGCATGGCAAAACATCACACCCAGGAACAAATCTAATGAGAGACAAAACACTTGCACATTGAGAAAAAAGAACAGATATTAAATAAATGGAAGAATATATGTTTTTTAAAGGATTGGAATACTCAAAAGCACAGAAATGTGACTTTTCCCAAAATTGATTTAAAAAAAATCCCAATCAAAATATTCAGCAAGTTTTTTTTTCCTGGAAATGTTTGAGCTAATTTTAGAATCAGATGAAAAATTCAAATGGTCATAAATATGTCAAACAATTTGAAAATGTGGAATCAAGTTGAAAGACTTACACTATAATACAAGGTTTATTGTAAAACTACAGTAATTAAGACAATGTACTATTTTATAACAACAGATAAATAGACCAGTGGATAGAAAAAAGAATACTGACACTTACCCACAAATATAAATTCAAATTTGATTTATGGCAACACCAAGAATAGTAGGAAAAGAATGGACTCCCAATAAATTTGGATATTCACATAGGAAACAAGTGAATGTGGGTTCCTGTCTCACACTATGCACAGCAATAAAGTCCAGATATACTGTTGACCTAAATCTGAAAAAGAAAACATGAAAGCTCCCAGAAGATAACACTGAATAATGTAACTTCATGATTTGGGGTAGACAAAGGTTTCTGAAGACACAAAAGGGCAAGAACTATGTGGAAAACAACTGATAAGTAGAACTACATTGAAATGAAAAACATCTCTTTATCAGAGACACCATTTAGAGAATGAAAAGTTAAGTCAGTGTAGTAGAAAATATCTGTGATACATATAAATGACAAATGACCCCTACTCAAAATATAAAAATAACTAAAATCAGTGAGAAAAAGAGAGGTAACCCAATGGAAAAGCAGACAAAAGGTTGAACACCTCAGAAAATGGAATCTCCAAGTCACCAATAAATATTTTAAAATAGCACAACCTTATTAATCATCAGAGAAATGTAAAATATAGTTAACAATGAGATATCACTATACAGACTCAACAGAATGGCTAAAATGAAAAGGACTTACAATCCAAGGATAGAGAGAGCTTGGAGCTGTTTTTCTTTTCTTCTCACCTAAGGACACACTTATTATTTTTAGAGAGAGTGAAAGAAAGGAAGAGAGAGAGGGAGGGAAACATCAATGTGAAAGAGAAACATTGGTTGGTTGCCTCTCCTACACACCCCGACCAGGGATTGAACCTGCAACCCAGGCATGTGTCCTGACTAGGAATCAAATCTATGACCTTTTGATTTATGAGACAGTGCTCCAACCAACTGCGCTGCACCAGTCAGGGCAGCCACAACTGTTTTGACAACACTGACAATATTAGCTGAAACTGGACATGCACATAAACTGTGATGGGCAAATGCTACTAGTGGGCAACAGAAGTCAATATATATTGGACAAAAGATGAGTGTATGTGTGTATGAATGTTCCTAGCAGTGTTGTTTGCCATAGATACAAACTGGAAATAGCCTAAATGTCTACCAGTGGAATGGATATATAATTTGAGATGCTTAAAGTGGGTAGTAATTTTCTGTAATATATGTGGAACATGCGGGCAGACATTTAGAAAGAAAAGTGGTCAAATAGTTTGACAATACCCAGTTAAAAGGAGCCTTCTAACAGTGAGCCATAATGGGGAAGAAGCTCATGGACAACTTAAGAGCCATGTTACAGAAGATAACTGTTTGAAGGTCTCAGATGTGGCCCATGAGTAATGGGGGACTTTAGGTCAGATAATGCCAATCACGAGTACATGGACAGAAAGTCATGGGCAAGTTATAACTTCCTCCAAGTGAGAGTTCAGCAAAGATTTAGGAGATGTCTCCAGGGAAACGGGGACTTTCTTTCTGGATCTGGAAAACGAAATTCTCTTAAATGCAGATGAGCGTTTCAGGTGAGGGAATCACCATACAGAGAAGAAGTAACTGAAGTCTAACAAGCACAGCATAATTGGTCTGCAGAGATTTTTCTCTCTGAGGGAAAAGAAAGTTACTTCTTCCAAATGGCACACCCTGCTCAGCTCTGCTCTTCCCGGGCAACGCCGGTCTCCTGTCCTGAAGGTGAGGCTGCCCCGCTCTGAGGCCCTCCAGGGGGTTCTCAGACCTCAAGTCAGGAAACCAGGGTCTCCTTACCATGCAGCTGCTTCCCAGTCTCGGGTGACAACTGTACTGAATTTGGTTACTGGAGAGAAAAATGTCCCATTTTGGCAACTGGTTTTAAGAAAGCTCATTGTGAGTAGCCAGACTGAGGAAGGACTTCTTTCAGATACCTCTGAGAAATGAAGCACCTAGCTCAGGTCTTCGACCGCATCCATAGGAGTCCCCGGGCTTAGCTGCAACAAGTCACGTTCCCTGGTCTGCACGGTGCCCTCAGCGCCTGCCCATTGGAAATCTGGACCCGGAGGACAGGTCTGTGCTGACCAGCTCATTCTGAAGGGATAATGGTCTAAGCAGTATACGTACACATAAGGAAATTGGGAGGGAGTGGGGAGAACAACTTTGCCAAGTAACATTTTGGGGAAATCTCAAGGTTTCTAGGTGGCTTTCTATTTCAAGAAGGATGCTTGTGATTTTTAACTTCAGGAAGCTTGAATCATGATTCTGAGAAGAAAGGGTTGGGGAGGATGCTGTTTGTCTTTACTATCATTGTCAGATATTACACCTCCACCCTACTTCTGAAAATCTGTTGTAACTTCTCTTTACATAGCACCTGTTCAAAAAGTGTTTTAAACATTTCCTTTCACTTCTTAACTTTTTTGGGGGGGGCTTAAAAAGTCATTCTTTTTTACTATTGGTGTTACATCCTTATCCCAACTTTTCTGTCTCCAATGAATTAAGTCAGACTTAAAATGATGTTTCCTTTGCCCAGAAGAAGAAACTAGGTCTGGGTAAAGGAAACATAATTGAGAGTTGAACTGGGAAATTCAAGTTCATTGGCAAAGGAGTTCATTCAGTCCCAGGGAGGGGCACTTTACAAAACATGGTGATGGTACAGAAACATGATATGTTAACCATGGGTATTTCTATTTGTAACCAATACCTTTGAGGGCTTTTAAGGGAAATTACTGACCAAGGATCAGGGCTTACATTCTCTTTGTCAAGCCCTTAACTAATTACTAGTTTTTACAACAAAGCTGTGCGTGGATATCACTTTCTCTACCCAAAGGACAGAGTAATTAGAGGGATGATATGTGGAAAATCAAAAGTGGGCTTTGTTGAGTCCTTGAGGTTTTTGGAAATCACTTGTGACTTGAATAAGGTGCAAGCAGGATTACTAAGAGTTCCAGAGAGAATGCCAGAGTGCTTGAGCTTTCTGACTAGCAACCTATCAGCAGGATTAGAGAGCCTGGGGGTGGTACTGAGCAGACCAGCTATGCCTCTGTTGTGTGAATCACAGTAGAGGGAGCACAGTGCAAGGATGAGAAAAGACAGTTTTCTGGTGGGGGGCAGGCATAGTCACGAATTTCAGATAGGGATAAAAGTAAAGGAAAGAGGGAACATCAACAGTCATTCCACTGAGTTAGTTCCAGCTATCTTCCCTCACTTTACAGTCTCCAAACCACAACTATCGCTATGCAGGATACATGCCAATCAAACGAGCGGGAATGGCAGCCAACTTTCAAGATTTCTTTGTTGATAGGCTAATGTGTACAGCAAATATTTGAGTTCTTCTCGTTTATTAGGGAAGATAGCTCATGCGTCCTTGACTTTGATTTGTTTCCTGACAGCCATCCTTTCCATCAACCCATGCTCTGCTGCTCTTCCGAAGGAGGAGGAAACACCAGATTCTTCCCTCCCATCCTCTCATCCAGAGAAAAGACAAGCAGGTGAAGATCTTTCAAGACGGAGCCTGATGGCCCAGGTCTTTATTGTTCATGTCACTGGCTCTGAAATGGGACTTTGAAAATTTTCTTTGCTACCTAAAATATCTATTTTGTATTTGCCACCTTCTAACTTGTAACCCCAAGTTTCTGATTTTAAAAGGGTGGAACTGAGTGTTTCCTTTTTGTACAGAATCCAGAGGTTTTAAAAAGCTCATTTAAGAATCTGTTTCTATCTGTTAGGTTCCACTCCCTATGAATTTTGAGAGAGTCAGGAGGGGGAAACTGGTTTCCAACAGAGAAATAAACAAACTCCAGGGTTTAGAATTGGCTTTAAAGAAGAGAAGTGTGTTTTAGTTTAGTTTTTAACTCAACTGTCTAAGCATTTTAATAAAAACTTTCCTACTTTAGGAAGAAGAAAAGAAGAATTTTATTTTCTCCTTGACCCTGAGCCACAACAATGGGTTCCGTTACAGTCCCCAAACCTTGAAGGAAATAAGCTGGTGAAGCTCACCATTTAATCTGAGATGGCTCTTTGGTCTGAATGACCTCCTCTGGCCCTCTGCCGCTGTCAGTGTCTGGTATGGATTGATTTATAACTTGGGTTTTGTCTTCAGAGGCTCATGGGCAGGGAAAATCAGACATGGGTGAGGGAGTTCATCCTCCTGGGCCTGTCCAGCTGCTGGGAGACTCAGCTGTCCCTCTTCTTCCTTTTCCTGGCCATGTATCTGGTGACCGTGCTGGGGAACTTCACCATTATCCTCCTTATCACGCTGGACAGCAGCCTACAAACGCCCATGTACTTTTTCCTCAGCGTCCTGTCACTTGTGGACATCTGTTATACCAACAGCACTGTCCCGCAGATGCTGGTTCACTTTCTGTCGGCCCGGAAGTCCATCCCGTTCCCCAGCTGTGTGCTCCAGCTCCACGTGTCCCTGGCGATGGGCGGCTCTGAGTTCTTCCTGCTGGGAGCCATGGCCTATGACCGCTATGTGGCGGTGTGCCACCCGCTGCACTACACGGTCATCATGCATGCAGGGCTGTGCCTGGGGCTGGCTGCCGGCAGCCTGGTGGCTGGTTTCATGAATTCCCTGATGCAGACAACCATCATCTTTCGGCTGCCTTTGTGCCGCAATGTCATTAATCACTTCGCTTGTGAGATGTTGGCCGTGCTGAGGCTGGCCTGCGCCGACATCTCAGTGAACAGGGTCATGGTGGCCATCTCAGGGTTTCTGGTGATCATGCTTCCCTGTTCCCTGGTCCTATTCTCCTACGGTCATATAGTCTCTGCTATTCTGCGCATTCGCTCTGCCCAGGGACGTAGCAAAGCCTTTGAGACCTGTGCCTCCCACCTCACTGTGGTTTGCATGTGCTTTGGAACGGCCATCTTCACGTACATGAGACCTGCAGCCAGCTCCTCGGCAGAACAGGAGAAGATGGTGGCGCTCTTCTACGCCGTGGCAACACCAATGCTGAACCCCTTGATCTACAGCTTGAGGAACAAGGAGGTGATGAGTGCCCTAAGGAGAGTACTGAGAAAACTCAGTGAAACCAGGTAAAGATTTACAGAATTTCTACTTCCCTCCAGCAGCCCAGAGAACACTGCAAACAAAAAGCAAATGATTGACAGGCCCTTTCTCCTCAGATTTGCTGAGGAGGTGGTTTGTGGTGAGCACATTTTTTTTTAATGGACTTTCCACATTAGTCCACATTTTGACTATGTATCCTTGCCCTGTTATACACATGGCAAAAAGTGCCTTCATTTGTTAAACAGGGGTCTGCTGGGTAATCTGTCCTCCTGGAACTCACACTCCACTTGCCTTTCCCGTTTCCCCCACATACTCCCTCATGACATGCAATGCAGACAACTGAAACTTTCAGACTGAGAACAACCCCTCCTCACATCTTGACCCAACCTTCACCAGCAATGCAAAAAGTAAGCTTAATATCTCTACCTCCAGTTTCCTCAACTACAAGAAGAGTACTATCCAGTATGTGTTATCATCTTGAAGAATATGAGTAAGCCATGTAAAATATCACGTAATAAAGTGGTGGCATAGGGTAAATATTCAACTATTTTTAAAACAGTTTTTAGGACACAGTTACAGGACTAAGCATTATGCAGCTTTCTCTTTCTATACAATTATTCCAAATGAACTTTTTTTTTCCCTATTGCTTTGGCTGTAGTTGATCACTGTTCTATGTTGCTCTGGATGCTTTTACCCAGAGCCATGGCATCCATCCACCCACCCACCCATCCATCCATCCATCTATTCATCCATCTCTCTGATCTATTTAGAATCTATTTATCAGTCAAGGCTAAAGTTCTTATTTTTCTTATCTCCAATCCAGACAAGACCTTTCTCATGAGCTCCAAACACGTATGTCCAAGGGCTTGCTGAACAACTTCACGTGGAGCATAGGAATCCCATTCTTAACATACTTGAACTAGAACTAATGCTCTTGCTTTCTCCAGGCCAAGCTACTCCCTTTCTTCTTGTTCCAAGATACTTTGAGTGTATTAGTGAAAGGAACCATCACACACCCAGAATAATTCTTGATTCCATTATTTCATGTCTAATTCATCAATGGATTCCATGAGCTTTGTGAGCAAAATATATGATCTCTCTGCTCTGTCTCCACCTGTTCCTTCTGCATTTTATTCTTTATACTGCAGCTTCAAGTTTTTAATTAGTATTTCTTACTTTATGTTGTAAAATAAAACACAGAGGCAGAAACCACACTAAACAAATGTGTAACTTAGGGAATTACGTAAGACAATGTCCCTTGTAATAACCACTCAAGTCAAACAACAGAACTGGCAGCCACTGCAGAAGCCCCTCCACATGTTTGTGCTAATCAGAGCTCCCTTTTTCCCCAAAACAACTGCTACCTCGACCTTTGTAGCAAAGGCCCCTTTCTTGTACTTCTTTATGGCTTTATTACCCAAGCAAACACCCCTAGTCACTGTAATTGTCTTGCCCATTTTTCAACTTGTTATGTCTTTGAACTCTCCATCTATAGGTTCCCTCCAACTCTTTATTTTCCTTACAGTTTATTTGCATGGCCTGGGCCATTTGACCTGCAGAGGGCACCTTTATCTTAGAAAATAAACCAGGCCACCTCTTTCTCCTGCTCTGAATAAAATGCAAACTGCGCACATGCAGGGTTATCCACCAAGGGTCGGAAGAAAGCAGATACATCTGTGTAAAAGGAAAATTTATTTTTCTACCAGTCGAACATATTCATGGAGAAAATAATCATTGGCATGTCATTTTCTTGTGCGTGAAATCTGAGACTTATATACAATGTCTCAATGTACTACTGCATACTAATAACTTATTCATAAATACTGACTTTTACGGGAAATTCTGAGTCCTGTCCATTAGCATCATGAACAACTGTGCTCAAATCTCTGTCTGAATAAAATCTCAAAAGCAAAGGTGTTTTTGATCTCCCACTTTTCAGAAAGAAGAAAAGCCAAGCGGCTCCCTCAGGAAAGGCCGTGCTGTGCTCAGCAGCCTGTAAGCCCCCTGAGAGCAAGGACTTCAGAAGCAGGCCCAGCGCCTGCACAGTGCGCACAGTTCCTGCTCATTGAATAGGTTATTGATGGAAACTTCCTTTACTGTTGCAGGAGCTGCCTTTCCTGAAGTGTGTAAAGACCATATTGGTTGGAATTTATGATATTAGTAAGACTTTTAAAAAAATCTCAGGTGCAGAGTTGAGTTAATTGATTAACAATACTACTCAGTACATGGCAAACTCATCAATTGTGCAAGGCCTCTCTTATGAGTGTTTAAAAATTAATTCTTTTATCCCATTTATTATTATTTTTCTTGCTTATGGGCATCTATTCTACTTTGTTTAAGGCATTTAGTTGTGTTGAGGTACATTTATGTATTTTTTAAAAGTGTATTATATTGTTAACTACTCATCCTGTGTCTATATTATAGAACACTATATTTAAAAAATCCACACATATTTTTAAGAGCCATATGTATTGCTGATCTATTACTTCTAACTGTTCATAGTAATCCATGGTGTTCACCACATTTTAGCTGTCACTCTTTGTCATGGAACCCAACTCCCTGGCACCACCTGTAACTCCACATTGCACATCATAATATCACAGGTAAGGACCCAAGTGAGAATTTATTTAGGGAGTATACACAGCAGCTCAGTTGCTAGGCCATGGATAATTCTCTCCAGAATAGCTTTAAAAGTCTGCACTCCTACTTTAGTGCATGAGAGTTCTTATCTACACACTGCCTGCATGCTTTGATTTTCTTCTAGCCTGAAAGATATAAAATTGTTTTATTTTTTCTTACTTGGTAAGTAATTGATGTGAACATGGCCTCATGTGCTGATCTGATTCCCACCTCAGTTCACCACGACTCCATCACTGCCGTGATCAGGCCACCGACCACTCCTTCTCTCACAAACAGCACAAATCTGCAAGAACATCCTCTCGTCTCTACTTTCAAAATATACACAGATCACACTCAATCCTCATCATCTCCTCTCCCACCTTGGTTCCTGCAAAGGCCTGCACCTATGTCTCTGCTTTTACTCTTGTATCCCAGCACGCAGAGCGATTCCTGTAAAACATAGCTCAGATCCTGCCATTCCTCTTGTGAGTTTAATATTTTCTCCACAGGTGTTGGACAAAGATTTGTAAAGTACATATTATGTGCTAGACACCCTTCTAGGTGTTACAGATACAACAGTGAAAAGCAAACAAAGCCATGGCAGGACAGCTCAATTGGTTAGAGTGCCATCCTTCTATGCCAAGGTTGTGGGTTTGATCTCTGGTCAACCCATGAATGTATAAGTGGGACAACAGAAATTGACCTTTTTCCTTTCCCTGTTTCTCTCTCTCCTTTCCTCTCTCTCTCTCTCTCTCTCTCTCTCTCTCTCTCAAATCAATCAATAAAAACATTCTTAAAGCAAACAAAAAGCTCTACTTTCATGGAGACTACATTCTAGTTAAAGGAGATAGACAATACATATAATAAATAAGTGGTACATGTAGCCTGTGTGTGGTGTTCATTGCTATAGAGAAAAGCAAAACAGGAAGGTAGCTAGAGAAGACAGGGACGACTGGAGGCCTTGGCAGAGCCCTGCGTGGAGCACACGCACGCTGTGTGTGAAGGAATTCCTAATACTTCAGAGTTTGTGTTGCTGTTATAGCTAGCATTTTATTTTGTTTTTTAGTTGGTTGTTGCTGATGTTCAGAAATGCTCTTGATTTCTGCAAGGTGGTCTTGTATCTGGTTCTCCCTCATTAAGTCTAATAGACTTTTGATGTTTTTCCCTAGCTATATAGGCATATCACCTGTAAGCAGTGATAGCTTTCCTTATCATCTGGGTATATCTTCATCTGTTCCCTTATTCACGGGCCAGGGCCTCTAATGTCAGACAGTGGCCGTGGTAGCAGGTGTCCTTCCTTGTGCCTGATCCGAAGCACGTCTGTAGGTTCTCCATTACACGTACTGTTTGCTGTGGGTTTAGGGCATTTTACCTTTACTAAGCTAAGTTTCTGAGAACAAAGTATAATAAAGTAAGGAAGTGCCTGCCTTACTATATAGCAAAACATAGAGTAAAGTAACTACAATTAGAGCCATGGTATTGGTGTAGAAAAAGACATGCATCAATGAATCAAAATATAACCTCTCAAAGAAACTTTTGTAGGTGGGAATTTAGTTTATCATAAGAACATACTTGCAAATCAATTTAGGAAGCTATGTTCTACTAAATAAATGATTTTGGAACAAATGACTACGCTATCAGGAAAAAGAAATGTCATCTATCCTATCGTATGGCATAAAAATTAATTTCTAATATATCTGAAGTTAGGAAACACATTTTACAAATGAGTTTCAGTCTGTTCCCTTCCCTTCTAAGACACTAAATAACTGTAAAAGGATTTTTAAATAATGAGATACTAAGCCACAAAGTAAAGAGGACAATAAGTAAGAAAAGGCTTAAGAAGCACAAACTGGTAGTTGGAGAATAGTCACGGGGATGTAAAGCACAGCACAGAGAATGTAGTCAATGATACTGAAGTAACTATGGATGGTGCCAGGTGGGTACTGGATTTATCAGGGGCATCACTTTGTAAATTATATAAATATCTAACCACTGTGCTCTACACCAGCAATTAATATAATATAGAATACTATTGAAAGTCAACTGTAACCAGTGAAAAAAAAAACCCCAGTATTTTATGAGGAATGCCAGTATTTTACAAGGAATTGGAAGCTAGAAAGCAACTTTGAGGGGGCCTCTTTTGCCTTCTGAAGGCCCAAAGCTAACGTAGCCCCTGCTACACTTCCCCTTCCCACTGCAGCGCTCACGTGAGCAGCCCTCTGTCTCTTTTGCTCAGAAAGTTGGCTGGGAGAAGATGCTGTGGCCGCCAGCTCCCAGAAAAAGCCAGGGAGAGGGCGTCACAAGCCCTTTCCTGGGACAACGCCAGGTGGACAGGGCCCATGAGGGGAAACCGTCACTCTCCCTCATGGGGAGAGGAGGGGGGCAAACCCTGCACCCCCCCCCCCACCCCA